AATTCACCATATAAGAAATTTTCAACTGACCGAATGATTTATATATTCTTTATAAATCATCAACTTCTGTTCAGAACAAATATTTTCAGAAAACATTTCGTTGGAACTTTCATCATCCAGGTCATCCTCCAACAAATCTAAAAAATATTATTATAACGTTGAAACATTCACATTTCTATAAAAATATTGCAATAAGCTCACTTCGGAAATAAATACTAAACTCTAAAAGTTGAGACCCTATTTCACGAGGAACAATTCCTTCAAGAAGCTCCCCCGGAGTCCGACGTATTTCCAGCACTAGTTCCCGGCTCCGGAGATCCTGTAGAATTATTATGACAGTGACTACAATGCAGACAAACGCTGCAGGAGCCCAACTTTTTCGCCAAGATCGACCTCAGTTTCAGAGCCGGTCCCAGTTTCATATTCATTGTATTGGTCAGATGTTCTTCAGTGAGCAGAGGTAGGCCAGCGCCATCTATTCGCTGATCTCGGAAAATCTGAAAATAAAGGTTCCTACTTTAATAATTTTCAGTTCAAGTTCTGCATACAACAAAGAGATGGAGAGTGTGAGTTTTCGATATTTGAAAGTATGGTCATTATGTCATATCTTCTGTATCACCTATTAAGATAATTCATTGTTTAATTAAATATAATTTTTTTCTGTGGAAATTATTGAAGAATGATTTTGAGATGAAACAATAGTTTGTTCCCAAACGCCACAACTGTAATATCTACTCTTTTAGATGCACGTTTCACAAGCTAAGTTAGCGTCTTCAGGAATTGAAATACCCTAATTTATGACTGTAAAACTGGTCTCGATTTAAATCTCATCCGCGAGAAATTTCTCGTGAAAGTTTTGGCTTATTTTAACACAGCGATTCATATAGAGATAAACAATGGGCTATTTGGAATGACTCCTTTGTCACTGTTCGTAATTCTCATGTCACACTTTGCTATTTTCAGTGTGTCGTTACATGACACTAGATTTATTATTGCTTCCTGAGAATGTTTTTCCAAATGAATTTAATCTCCAGCGATTCAAATCCAACGTGAATCGCTACTTTCGCTCATGCACCGCTCTTAGACCGCCTTAAGGATTTTCCTATAGTGTTTGTATTTTGTCCTTGGAAAAAAGTCTGGAAATGGCAAGGTGTGGCATAAGAGCTATGAACCGCCGCAAAGGTCAAAATCGTTCTACCAGAATGAGCTGTAAGAGAAAATTTCCCGCGAATTTTTATTCGAAATCATTGGAGTGTATTAGAATGTGAATATGTATTCTGTAAGAAATGGATAGACTTAGAAATAAGTGTATTTCATCTCCTGGAGACACTTGGTTGGTGAAACACGCCTCTGAAAGAGAGTTGTAGTTCTGATGCTTGGGAATAGTGGTAATTTTGGAGAGTGGAGAGTGATGAACCACTATTAATCTTTTATCAATCTTGGTAGTGAATATCCGATCTATTTAAAAACTGTTAATTATTAAGGTGGCTCCTATATGTATTTCTCTCATGTAGATGTAGATACTGTAAAAGTAGACATTGATAACAAAATTGTTCAAGATACCATCACCAAGATATTTACACATTCGTTTCAATTAATTATACTCGTTCAGAATTTAATTACACTAACAAAACTCGTTATATCCATTGATTCTCAAATTGCAATAGTCACATTGTCACTGTGCATTTGCGTAAACTGCTATATTCCTTATGAAGTTTTGCAAATGTCGTTATATTGACATTGTACGTGTAAGTGTAAGTCTCCATTCTTGACATTGTTATGTGTAAGTGTAAGTCTCCATTCTTTGTATTTGAATTTTATACATGATTATAAAGCAGTTTATGCGATTGTAAAATAGCTCCGCATTACTTTACAAAAATAACTGATGAGTTTAATGTACTGGGAAATTCCCTATGAGAAATAAGCTCATTATACGAAACTTTGGATCTAAATTGAGTGAGTCTATTCGACCTCCATCGCAACCCGCAAGGGTTTATTGTCACTCACTCCTATTCACATTCGGCTAAATACACCCAGCTTCTTAACGAAGCCGATTAGTTTGTATGGTGAGTGGTCTTTCAGGTCATATGGAAAGAGTACGGCTCTGCCGAACTCTGAAAACCTGATTCGGTCCCCAGCGGGGCAGGCACAAAGTATGTGCTCTGCTGTTTCATAATTTTCTAAACAAAGGCGACACAGACTGTCTTCTGACAGTCCGAGTCTCTGCATATGATGATTCAAATGACAGTGACCTGTAAGAAGGCCCGTTAGATATCGTAGTTCATCCCTACTGTAGTCCAACAACTGTTTGGTATCAAGCTCCGAAAGGTGAATAAACGGCTTGAAGTGAGCCAATCCTGGTGTTCAATCTTTGTTTGGCAAAGCCTAAAGCGATGCCTATGACAGGTTCTGGTCTGCTTGCAGCACCCTCCTTCACAAGGGAGTCGGCAGCGTTATTGCCTTCCAGGCCAGTATGACCAGAAATCCAGACCAGAGACAGTCTGTTAAGTGTTCCTATCGAGGAGAGTCGTTTTTGACAATTTGCTACCTATTTAGACGTTGCTCGGTAGGAGCCAAGAGCTTCCAACGCCGCTTGACTGTCCGAGAATATTTTTATTAACTTGTTTATCAACTATCTGCTCTTGATATTTCCTTCTCCCGGAGGATCCAGTCCTCTCTACTTCGGACAGTTCGTAGTTGACAGTTGGAGGCTTGAAGTCAGAGGTCATTTCCAGAATGCTGTGACTTTCAGTGTCAACCAACAGTCTGTTGCACTCTGCATTGACTTGATTTATGCAATTGGCAATGTGCACTAGTCTATATAGCCTGTCTCTCCAGTCCATCTAGCTTTTCTCTCCAGAAAAATGTGGAAATGTGTTGTCAAGATTTTCTCTACAAGGTTGTTTAATGCTAAATCTGTCAATTTGCCGGTTTGATAAGCATACTGGTGGTTTTTCGGGGGCTATGCATATAATGCCACCCTCCTGATGTGTCCGTCCACTATGTTCTCAAGTCCTATCAACAGGAAGGATATAAGGCTGATTGGTCGTATCGATTTAGGGAGTGGGTCTTTCCGACCCACCTCTAGGTATATATACCACCCTTGCTGCCAACCAACTGGGTGGTATATAGTTCCACGCCAGACTAGCTCTATACAATTTTATGAGAATAGGTAAAATTATTTCCAGTCCGTTTTGAAGAAAACCTGGAAATATACCACCCTCTCCAGGAGATTTGGAGGTCTGAAACAACTTGATAACCCATTCAACTGCCGGTGCTATGGTAACCTTCTAGATGACCTCTCAATCGTTCTTTTTGGGCGGTTAGCGCCCTCGAAGATGGGAGGTCTGGTGCTATTAAGAGTTAGATTTCCAGGAAAGTGGTTTTCTATCAAAAGCTCTAACGTTTCTTTACTAGAAGTCGAGAATGTTCCATCGGGTCGTTTAAGCGGCTCAATTTCAGCAGTCGCCTCTCTTGAGAGAATATTGTGAATTCTTGTGCTGTGAGGGAAATCAGGGATACTCTCCAAGACTCCCGTTTGCCTTTCCAATTTCATTGTTGTATAATGTTAGAGTCAACGTTCTATAAAGCTCCCAGTTACCTGACTCTTTAGCTCGATTGAATAATCATCGAACTTAGAACGGACTTTAATTTCTTCGTGACTGGACATTTACAGTTATCGAATCGGTATACTGCTACCTGCTAACAAGAGAATATTTTCAATAAGACAAAACTTCCCGAATAGCGGTCAAAGACGAACACAATTTTGTAGCGGAAGTACCGAATTAGGGTAATTTAAACAAAATAGGAAGATTCATTCAAGATATATAGAGCCAACCATCTGAAATACGGATTGGTCCAAGTTTCCAAGTCCAAGTTTCAAAGTTCCTATAAAGAGATCAATGTGGAAATTGTGAGGAATGAATTAATTCAAAGTTACATTTATGAATGAATGAAATGATATAAGTAAAAATGAATATTACCAATCACCAAGTGATCATCTTCAAGAGGAAGATTAGTTCAAGTGTCCTCTTGAAGATGATCACTTGGTGATTGAAACACATGTCGAGGTGTTAAAATAACGGTTTGTTATTGGGAAAAAACTCCCGTAATATTCTTTACTACCAAAGGTTCCAAACAGTACATCACAAGTATATAAGTGAAAATATTCATTTTTCAGATTGTTGAAGCTCAAATATTAGAAAAAAACAAAAATAACAACATTACATGATTGGGACCAGTTTATATTTCTGGTTCTGACATTACTCCAAGAAAACAATCATGCTGATTATTTACAGTTGCAAAATCATTCATGACAACATTACTCTAACAAAACCTACTATGTTGAATATAATAAGCTAATTAAATAAAACACTAATTCATAACGATGTTGAATATTACCGTTGTTTTTTCCCTACGCCAAAGCGTTATTTTAATACCTCGACACGTGTTTCGATCACCAAGTGATCATCTTCAAGAGGGAGAGAGTTTGATATTCCTCTTGAAGATGATCACTTGGTGATCGAAACACGTTTCGAGGTGTGGTTGGTGTTGGAAAAAATTTGAGTAATATTCATTACTACACCAAAGATTCCAAATAGTGAATCACAAGTATATAACGATGTTATTCATTCCCAGCGATATCACTTTCAAAAACAATCAATAAAATTTGTTTTTTCTTGCATGAGATAGTTAAATTTTCCACTTGGTGAAAATATCTTATTCGATGGAGATTGCAAGTGGATTATTATATAAAAATTTCACAAAATTTTTATTTGTAATTCAACACCGAATTTTTTATCCAAAAGTACCTAATGTAGTCAGATCTTGAAAATTATTCAACGTCTGCAAGAAATAACTCGATCCACTACAAAATCCTGTAAATTGTGAAACATAATTCAGCTCCCGTCGGTATGCTAATAATTCAACTTAAAAACTGGCATTAAAACGAGCTATTCGCAATAGTAGGTGTAATTACGAAATTAAATAAAGTGTTCAACAGTTTTCACGTATAGAAACTCCTGTAAAAGCAGTATTGCCGTGTAATTTTCAGCTTTTATAAGTTTAATTGCTTTACTTGTGAGATCTACTGAAAGATCAAGCTAATTTACAATCGCGTACGCCAATTCAAAAATTATTCACGGAGCAGATTGTTCAACAGTTATGCTGGTTTAATAGCACGGGCCATAAGTAAGTATACAGATGGAACAGATAATGTAGAGATAATATCTATTCAGATGCAAAGAAGTGCTTGGTATGGACGAGTGTCGGTTTCACAATCTCAAAACTAATTTTTGAATGAATAATTTTGATTTACCTACAACAAAAAGATGAGGGGCCTAGATCGAATATTATTTATTATAGTATTGTTGTTTGGTAAGTGAAAAACTTTTTGTCCTAAATTTGGTCACACAAAAACTGTTGTCGTTCAATATATCTAGGAAGGCGCTATTTTATTGTATTTCCAATTTTTGATACAAAAAGTGACTTTATACGT